GGCAAGACTACTTCTTTAGCCCCTTTATCCCCTAAATGCTTTGTGAACCTCTCAAACTGAAGGTGATGTTCCAAATACTGACACGCATGGGATGGCCCATCAAAGGATGGCAATAAAGAGATAAATGATGTGCTGCAGATCAAAGGTAATAACACGGCTTCTCTGCACATTTACAACAATTTCCCAATGGAGAATCCGCCTGTTAAAGTACCCTCAGCCAGGTAGGGACTAGAAACTTTATTGCAAATTCAGGAAAGGCGGAGGGAGTATCCAAGATGCTGCTTCCTTGGGCTTCCAAGGATGACTAGCCTCGGCGCAATTTCTAATTTGCCTTCACAGAAGGAACCTAAATAGGCGAGCTGGTGTACCGCAAAGCCTCTTAGAGGTGTCCCTTTAGGCTCACTCTTTTTATGGGAGTCAATAACTCCATACCGATAAAATACACATTGAATGTGACTGTAACAGAAGGAACGCCAAAAAATAAAGTAGCAAGGGAGCAAGGGAGTTGTCATTTGGAATGACGTATGGGGGAGGAGAACTAAAATGACTTTGCCCCCTTTTTTACAACAACAATTAAAAAAATTAATTGAGCAAGCTCCTCCATATAATAAACATGCCGGTTAGAATAATATCATTACAAGCTATCAGCCTTTTTCAACCAGATATAAGCTTGTTAATCTCGCCTAGGCAAAAAATCTTTTCTTTAGAAGCGCAAAATCTTGGCTCTGGCTACTTTTATTTCATAACTTTCGCACTTGTTAAGTAATAATTAGAGGTGAAAAAGGTTAAATGTCAGAAGACTACGGAGGACGCCCAGCACCTGCCATTTCACTTCTGAGAGTGCAGACTGTATCACTGGTAAGGATTGCCTAATGAGATCTTGTGCAGCATTATTAAGATTGAACTCTCCTTCCACTGATTGATTCAGTTGTTTTTCTCGCAAGAAGGTTCCATTCTTCTCACGTTTGACTTGCATCGAGTAAATAGGCGTCAAGTTGAACTGCTTAACCTTCAGCAAGTGAATGATTCACTGCAAAAAATTTCCTTCATAGTCCACCAGAGGATCGTCTCCAGTGTGTGATGAACTGCCTTAGACGTGCGATACAATGTGTTTGTTAGCTTAACTTTAGAAAATGAAAAATTTTTTCCCCATTTTGATATAGAAGAAGCGAAGAATGGGCTTATGTTATGTATCGATGCATGGCCTAAGGCACCCATCCACTCAGCAGTATGCGTGCTCTTCTCAGTTAATGAAGGTGCATACTCTTTGTTCATCACTTACAACAAAGACTGAGATCTGCTCTCAATGGGCAGTGACACACCATACTTCAACATGAAGAATACTACATCTTCCTGCTCGTAACACATCACCATCAGAATCAAGTGCACCAAGCCTTTTATAGACGGTGTTACAAGAAGCTTCTACAGTCCCAAAACTGATCCGAATTCGGTTTCGTAAGGCTAATGGACTAGAATCGGGGATGTTTGATAAAGCGGTGGATCAAAATAGCAGGACAATGTAAGCATGCAAGCAACTGCATTCACTTTACCAGTACCTACTGGTAAAGACCAAGAATTGCAGTAAGCTACTCTGAACTTGCCAACCTTTTGGTCACTTGATGTGATCAAGGAATTGGGGAAGAGGGCAATGGGTGAGGGACCATTGAAAAAAACCAAGTTTTTGCAGCCCTCCTGTCTGATTCGAGGAAGGCATGCTTCCAGTAGTTATCCAAGGAAAGGAATAGATTTTGTAAGATTGAATTGCATAAACAGCACTACATTGCCATTACTCCCTCGGACAAACTGACATTAACCGGATAGTAAGCAGTCTTTGGGGAACAACTTACACCTCCTCATATAGCTACTACGATGGTGAAAACATGGCACCAATGGATAAATAAAGTATACCCTAAAGGCCATAAAGCAATTGCATAACAAGTGGAATGTATAAATATATGGCAAAAGGCGAGCAGTTCAAAGTACTTAACGAGGTGTACAACCGTTGTTGCAATGCTCGACTGCTTCTTTCCAAAATGGCGGAATAATTGCATTTAGAGAAGAAAGACGACCGCCTACTGGTGGGACAAAATCAAGCAGACCCGGGATTGCAGAATGCTACACTCAGGTGAAAGATTTCTATCAACTATGTTTGGCCAGTTAATTGAGATTACATGTTATTGAATAATGAGCAGTCGTAAAGATGAAAAGTGATAGGGAGACCAGTCGTAGACCCTGAGCAAACATTTTTCGGCAAAAAATAAACAGAAGATATGCAAAGATTAGCAAATTTGTTTCATTAAGGTGAGTTTGTCATAAATGGGTAATTTAAAGAAAATATAAAATTAAAATGGCAATGTATTCTAGGTCCCAACTCTGCTGAAATAATTTTTTTAAGATTACAGCAGGAAGCCTGAGGCGTCTTTAAAATGTGCCGGGTTAAAGGCCTCAAATGCATATCGTCCTTAAAGTAGAGTCCTACCCAATCTCCATGATCATCATGCAGCTTCCCAAGCCACCCCTAAATACGTAGTAAGTAAGGGGAGCATTGAAAAACATGTTGTTACTATTGTAGCAAAACCCGTCATTCCTGGAGCCGTAAGAAGGCATAATACTAGGACAGAAAATTTATTGCCGACGTACAGAAGGGCTGAGGGACTACTGACATGGCCCGGAAGCTATGTCAACGAAGTGAATGTGCGATACACGATTGCACATTCACTTCGTTGACATCTTCGTACAGCTACGGTAGATGGCTCAGAGACGGATTTTTCCAGATGGTTCAAGACCATTGCTGCTTCAGTTGTTAATACCATTTATGCAGATAATAGGGCTGGGGTAATTCACGAAGGAAATTTCAATTTTGACTTTCTTGTTAGGGGTCATCACAAATTCTGCCCTCCACAGCATATGCGCTTCTTCTGTTACGGTAAGATTTGATATTCAGTTATGAAAATCAAGATGGATGTCTTAGAGGATGGGGTTCACTATCCTCTGCGACCAATGCAATACCCCGAGACTTCCTTATTGACGAAAGAAGGTACAATAATTGGACTGGATGTGTATTGCCGAAGTGAAGATGTGCTGGAAGCAACTAGTATGGCCCGGTAACCATGCGTCCCCATAAAAGTACAATAGCCATGCTTTTCATTGTCTGCGCAACCAAAAGGAAGTGTTAAACAAACAACCAACGTATTCAACTATCGTGATGTAGGTGGTTGTCTATGCTACGCAAATGGGGGTCAAATCTGGGCAGACCACAGAGTCCGAGCAGACAAGCACACATTTAAACGCAGATCGTTATGCTCCAAAACCCGATCCCTTCCCATTATCGTCTTTGGCACTCCTCAAGGTCTTTACATCAACTTCAGCCATCGCCATCACTGTGGCGATAGATATAATGATCAAACCTTGCCCTTTCGGGCTACATGGGTAGTCAACCACAATATCACCAACTAGTCCCTTCTACTTTGATAGATCCAAGGTTTCTCTAACTTTGCGAACTGCATTACGGAGACTTGCGGGCTTTGTGTTAATCAAGGCTAGGCAATACACTAAAAGCAGTGCATTTTATTTATAAAATATTTCATCTAACGTCACATCACGGCGAAAAAGACTATATGTCTCTTCATCGACTGAAGATGGCATCATGTCTTTATGCGAATGACCTATCCAAGCAAATATTGTGGCTAATCCATGGCTGGCCCATTTAAGCCAATTAAGCTTAGTGGCACTTCAGCTGTTAATTGCTCAAGTGTAAAACGTGAGATTAAGTGACTCTCAGAAATCGAAGTGAAATGCAAGCCTCCGCGGGTTTGGTCATTGAAAGCATTTTCTCCCCTCTGTGATATGTGAGATTGCTTTCCATTTGTTCCGGCCGGGTTTGTCTACTGCTGTCACCAGTTATCCCTGAAGACTCGTGCAGGAGAACAATTTGTTGTCACTGTGTAAAAGGTATGGATGACTATAAATTTGGACGGTTTTCAGTACTACCAACATCGTGGTGCAAGTGGTGACAGTAGAAGAGGTTGCACAGCTAAATATACCCAAATATGAAGGATATGATTCTCTAAGACAAATAAAGATAAGATCTCCTTATAAAGAAGCAGGTTTGGATATTCCTGCGCTACTCCCCTAGCTGTCTTATTCCTGTATTAAAACTTCAAGGGAAGTGCTTCTGTGCATACTAGACGAAAATGTAGAAAAGGGGTTTTATATTCCATATCTAAGTCGCAGTTTCTAACTTGAGGAAATTATTTATGGTAGATTGCTAAAAATTTGGAACAAAAATTTTATAAATAAACTGCAGGAGTTGTGACATTTAATCGTTAACTATCTCAATAGGCGTATCAAAAATATATAAATTTGAATGAAGTGGCTTTACTTATAGTTTTAAAGGCGGAGAAGCGCTGTTAATGGAGAGGGAGACCAATGACTGGTAGCTGGTAAGAAAGTGCTGAAATCCTCTAAATTACGTGCACTTTTAAAACCTTTTAAAGTCTGTGGTAGAGCTCAGAAAGTGTAAAGTTTCGCCAAAAGCCATTAAGTAAGCACCTTTCTCAACTGCTAAAAGGACGCTTTTGTGCGGAACCCAACAACTGATTGGTCTCAAGTGCCTAGAGGACTACCTACTTATTCACGGCAGGATGGAATAAGTAGTGAATCCTGCAGCGGAGTATTTGTAACTTTACGAAAATAGAATCCTTTCTGTATCCACTTTACACCCATCTCGTATCTATCCTCTACCTATCCTATATCCACCCCGAACCCATCATGGATCCATTCTGTACCCGTCCCGTATCTATCCCGTATTCGTCTACCTACAAATCGTTTTGTTAGAGGTTCTGCATGTTTGATTAAAATTGATGAGTGAACAAATGAGGCCCTAAATTTTTCGAAGTGTGGTGTAGTAAGAAATCTTTTCCCATAGTACTTCAATTCCGGTCAGGAGAGGATTTTAACAAATTAATTTGTACTATGAATGCACTGACAGGAAGTGGCGAATGATTTGTAATACTTACCTACAAAAACAACAAATCCAACTTCCCCCGATTTTATTGTATTTTAGCGTTATATTTAATCAAATCCAAGTTTTCAGGCAATTAAATGTTGTATATCATATTTTTCTTTTAAAAGAACATAACACCCTAAAGAAGGGTAAATTGTGCAAATGAGTAAGAACGGAAAGAATGGGAATGGATCTGTGCCAAATCGTAGACATATCTGTAGAAGAGAAGTAATTCACCAAGTTAAGGCGTCATAACTTTGAACAAGCTATTGTAACAGTGCCACAGTTTTCCTAGCCATCGTGGTGTCTGGGTGTTCATTTCACTTCATGTCTCTCAATGGTCCACCGGCGGATACACGACCTATCGTTATTGGGAGAGAAACCTTCTTGCAAAGGCACCCAAATTGTTCCCTCATTTATTTTTGTAGGTTGTCTTTGTAGAATGCAAACATCCCTATTTAATGTTAGAATAGAGAGGGTGATACTTCAGTAATACCCTTTGCTTCATGACTGCTGCATTTAATGACCACTTATATGCTAGCCTGACCGATCTGTTACCCCGTCAAATTGAGGTGTCACCCCCGTTTTCTACTTGAACTGGTAACAGGTAACACCCTCCAGGCCTGTACAAACTGATATCAGAAGGGAATTTTACGAAAGAGAACAAAATACAATATTTTAATTGTTTATCTAAATTTTGGATTTTGGTTAGGTGCCAACTATGGTCTCTGCCATTGTACGTCCTCCACGCGGCATCGTCGACAAGCATGACCCTTCCGCATGTCGATAATGCACATTTTGCTCGAGCATTAAGTCTTCTTTCGTCTCCATGGCAGTCTCAGGCACTACTTTGGTAACAGCGGAAAACGAACCCTACCGTAACAGACAACTACCCTAATTCCTGCTGCTAGATGATAAACCTTAGCGTGACGGAAGAAGGGCACATGCTGCGGTTGGGAAATTTTTTTCCGGGGTTAAAAATGAGGTCTACCACTAGGAACTCTCTCAATCTCGTGAACCATCTGTAGAAGTTCGTTACGGAGCCATCAATGACACTTGCATAAAGGCATTAGTTTTGGGAACAAGCGATATTACCCTCACCTCTCTACTAGCTGGACATTACCTAGATGGAGATAGCTGGATAGCATTAAACTGGAAACAAAAGTGGCAAAGAGGAATAGATGCGAAACCCTTTCCCAACCGAAGTGTGTTAAATTTCCCCCTTTGTTATGTCACTCTGCTTTAGGTCGGTGTTCCCAGGGCAGCACATACCCAGTATACCCAGTGTAATTGCCAAGAGGAATAAGTGAAGTTGAGGTCAAATTTTGTATCTTCATGTAAATTCTAAGAGTAGTGAGGATGGCTCGTGAGTGCTTTTCTTACAGCGTCGATTAAGCTGTGACGTCCGACGCGAGAGGTTGGCCAACGGTACCACCGAGGATGACGCTAAAAAGAGGGGGAGGGGAGAGACCGTAGAATACTTTGATTTTTCAACTCTCGATTTTGGTAACTGCTACTTGGGAGATCTTCCACTGTACCTTTTCCAGATGACCTGGTCTCCAGGGCGTGCCAGCAGCTCCTCAGTCCTTCTATACGTCGAAAATGCATATTCTATCCGAGTACTTTACCTTCTTTTGTCTTCAGGGAAGTCTCAGAGCGGTACGGACAAATCAAACACCATAAATTGCCAGTAAACGGTTTTAGTGGTTGAATGGAATGAATGTATTTGCTGTATCTACTGCACTTCATATTTTAGTTTTTCTTGCCAAATTCTCTCTATTCAATGCAATTCCACGCGTATTTTGGATTCGCCCAAGTGGATTAGCCACCAAAGAGTTACCATAAATTTTGTACAAAAAACCGACGAGCAGATCTGGAAATGTTGCAGCAAATTAAGTCGGTAATGAATTACCTAATATGGAACATTAATCATCCAGTGGCCGTTATTGCTGAGATTACCTCCACCAAACTGCATTATTTTATGAAGTTTCAAATGATGTGAGGCCATCAAGAAAGGGTTTCATGAAATACTTTATTCAGGGATAATTGTAGACATTTGGTGCAGGGACGATGAACTTTCAGCGAGTTTGCTTCGAAATAGAAAATATTTATATAGTAAATAAAGGCGCATGAAGTAAATTGTACCAGCCCATTTCGATGACCGCCATTTATTCATGTATAAAAGTTTCCCGCTCCTGGATTCGCAGTTGAGTTACGAGAATTAGTAATTTGTGGTGCTTAAAGCAGTAAATTCTTTAATGAGACAGTTTTGGATGAATTTTACTTGAACTAAAATATTCCAAATGAACCGTCTAACTGGAGTTTAGCCTGGACTAGGGATTCACAAGCTCTTGCTTCGAAATACGCATATCCTTCTACGCCTGGCCTCAGTCCAATCCGGCTTCCAAGAGCTGATTTAATGCCATAAAGCTTGACAATTTGGATTAACTGTTAACAATTCGGGATATTTTATGGAGAGATTTAGCTACGAGTTCTCGAAAAAAATGAACTTTTAGGCAGAGCAAAAAGCCTCACGTTACCCTATCCCTACTTGATAACGATCTAACATCTTCCAAATTGTTTGGGGCCAAAATATTTCTTTTGCATGCTTAGAATTTGACCGCAGTAATACCACACTTAATTACAAATATTTACAGATCCGTAAAAACACTTTATTTAGGAAATGTGATAACTTAAAGATGGTAAATAACCTCACAGACACTTGCTGCCTATTATTAGGAATTTTAGGAATGTTGGCCCAGTTTCTGAATCAACACGGTGATAAAATTTTTACCATAGCAGGTATAAAGTTTGTCCAGCGGCATTGAGATAAAGCTGCCTGGTTTACATTACGATGGCTTGATGAGTGTGGAGAGACTTGGTATTGCTCAGTCAGTGGAAAGATTTTGGTCCAGAGAATGCATAAACTTCGTAGCCATACAAAATAAAAGGTTATAGTCTTATAGGCAGTTAGGCCAACTTTCTAATCAGAAGATGTAATTCTTTATCTGTGTCACAAAAAATATCTTTCAGTGAAAGGTTAATTAAGCTTTCTGCCATGTAACTAACCCCTAATTCTGTGGTGTTCATGAGGTTCTTGCTCCAGTGCCATTGTTTGAACGCGCACAATGCAGTTCTAAAGGGCTGTGACTGAATCTTCCTCATATTTCTTACCCCAGTATCAAATAGGGAGGTCTGAGTGTTTCCATACTCCCATTAAATCCCCAAAAATGCCAAGCTGTAATCCTTTTTGTTTGGAAAAAACGTAATTGATTAGTCCTGAAGCCAAAGTCGGCTTGCCGAGGATGCTTTCAAGCATCGGAAATGTTTGCGCTTTCCTTTCTATGACTCTACTCCTCGAACATTCTAGAACCTCGCATCCCAGCCCACTCCCTCCCGTATGGTCGATTTCACGTTACATATGTACTTTAAGCCTACCACTACTCACAGTGAGGTCAAAGTCAACCATCTATTATAGATAAGCGGTACCCAGACCTTTTCGTTTTTCCAACGCCCTTCACTAGTCCGTCGGTTATTGCATACAGACCCACCGTACTCCTTACTCGCTCACTCGTACTGCCGGCAAAAGACTTCTGTACAGAAGTGTTCCTTGTAGACTACTCTGGTTGGAAGCTCGGGAAGTAAACTTCAGTTTATAGTGCCACTTGATCAACTATCTGATTCGCTGCAATCATTTTTTTAAATTTTTAATTAACAGAAGTTGAAATTATTTTCAACTCCAGAGATGATTAAGATCTGTTCGCCTAGTCGTCCCAAGGATGCTCTGGACGAAACCTCTTCAACACATTTACAGCCAGGGGATCTTGTGGGAAGGTTGACTGTCACAGTCATTACAATTGCTACTCAAAAAATGAGAGGAATGTAATCATCCTCAGGCAGTAAATGTAGCTATTCTAAACTGTCTACAATACAATGTGGGGCGCTCACCTCCCAGAAACTAATAGATAACTAATGGCAAAAATACTAAAGTAATAAAGTACTCTCTATCCAATCAAAATGAAGTTTTCAAGCAGTCACAATGCCACCTTTTCTGAGAGGGACTCACGCATCCTGAAATTGTGAAAGCTGTCAGATGGGACGCAGCCCACTCGAGGGAGACGAAAGACTTGAAAGGAAGCAATTCGAATCACTCATACAATATCGCAATCATGAAAATCCACTTAGAACTAAATTTAATTCCACCGCACCTTTGAGTGTGGCCGTTACATTTATTTGATTAACTTCTCCTATGGCAGTGCAAACAACGCTCTTTGCGAGTCTAAAAGAACTTTTGCCTTTAAAGGCAATCAGTCATAAAACGATTTATGTCAAAATTTCACTAAGCCAATCGTCCCTTCTTTACAATTCGTTAGCGCCCATTTTGGATTAATCAGTGTGTAGGCGCGGGAAGTGATTCATTTATCCATTTTTGGGAGTTTCGCTAATGTGTAGCTTACAGAATTGTGACAATTTATAAAATATTTCATTATCTGATTCTGTAAAGGCAGAATATATCTTGCAAGTCATCTTATCTCCTTCAAAGGATTAAATCACTTATATTTTGAGAGATTTTAACCAAAAGAACTACTTTTTGCAAGCCTATTAGCTTTCAGACATGGGATTGGTTGATCAAAGGGGCAGGGTGGGTTACGATTGGTGGGAGGTGGCAGTGCCCTCCACGCCGTAGTCCGACTAGCTAGCTCTGCGGTATTACAGGTGAAGGATGCTAATAACATGAGCATTTCAGAATGGCTGGAAGGCAGGAGAAGGATGAATCACTCTCCTACAAGCAGGAGTTTTTACGTTTCTGTCAGACTACCACCATTCGTGGTGTCTCCCGTATTGTCAACTCGCGCAACAAAGGCATTCGTTCCCTCTGGTTGACCTTTGTCATCTGTCTCTATATAGGCCTCTTCACTTGTATGATCCTCCTGGCGAGCCAGTACTTCGACTACGATGTCATCCATCCCCCCAGGGTGCTTCGTGATACACCCTCACCTTTCCCCTCCCTCACCCTTTGCAATCTCCGTCCTCTCTCTCCGCCGGGCATGAAACGAATCCGACAGCTCCAGTTTCGTGATCCTCGAGACTTTGCAAAAAATCTTAATGAATTTGCTGCTGGTCTCTACTTCTATCGTAACAGATCTCATGACTATGAACTCGTGAGTAGCGCCATTTCCATGGGTGGATATTTAGAGAGTCTTCCCAAAGGCAGTTCCTACTCCCTGGGCCACCTACAGAACGAGACCGTTATTCAGTGCATGGTAAGAGAAAGTACCATCTATAAATATATATATATATATATATATATATGCATATGCTGCATCCCTTTATCTGCAACACTGATGCTAATCAAACAGCACCCTGCATTGCATCAGGGTGGTCACTTGTTTCTTCTGGCCTACATCGAAGTAAGAATGGGGCTATCAAACAAAGAAAATCTCATATAATCAAAAATATTTATTTAGTTTACAAGGTGGAATGCTCTTATGCTTGTTTTTCTTCTGAAATCTGCCATACATGTATAGGCGGCAATAGCCGTGGTGTGATGTTGTTGTG